CAAATTTATTCTATCAAAATTAATTTTACTATATTTTAATAAATACGGGCCCACAATTTATTTTTACAATTATATTTGAGCCTAAAAAGACAATATCTTAAATATTTGAAAATAATTATTTAGAAAAAGACTTAATTGTTGTTGTTATATTATATTATATTATATTATATTATATTATATTATATATATATATATATATATATATATATATATTATGCATATGAAATTATACCCTAAAATCAAAAGAATATTTTTTTTATTTTATTTCTTCAGATAAAAAAACAATTATCTATATTTATAATCTTTAATAAATCAAAACCACAAAAAGTAAAGGTTATTTGTTTGTCATGTATAGGCCGGGCAGCAATTGAAGGCTAAAGCACAAGGAGCTGCTGATGCTGTAAAGAATGCAACAGGGAACAATTAGAGTAGCTAAATGGATCATTGTGCTAGATACTGCTTTCCATGAAATAAACTATGTTTTGCTAATTGATGTATTTTGCAGAAGCATATGTTTCATTTTATTTCAAGTGTAACCATTTAGCAAAACCAAATACAATAATCATTTCATTAAAGTTTCAAATTTGAGTGTTGAAATATCCATTTCTTATTACTTATATTACTTATTAAATTATGTGGTCCAGATCATGTGAAATTTCATTTTATGTCAGACTTAGTAGAATGATATTTTTATAACATTTCTTTAAAAGAAAATTTTAATAACCCAACTATTGAACTTAATATTATTGTAAAATAAATTAACCCTACACAAATTTCACACATTGTAAATATTAATTAATACCCCACCACCTGATTATATTTTACCATGTTATATACTATTTAAATATAACTAAATGTTATTATTGGACTAAAATCGACAAATATTTAAGTTTTGTAAAAATTTTAAATATTTGATATTCATGATAATATTATAATAATAAATTGCTGGATTAATAATTTTTTAAATAATCAATATTAATTTAAGTTGAGATCTTTTATCATATTTTAAATTTAAAAATTAAATTTTATTTAATATAATACAATATTTATTATTAAGAATTAAAAATTTTACTTTTTTTAATTTATTACATTTATTAAATTTTAAATTATCATATAATATACTTTTAACTATTAAGAAAAAAATATTTAGTTTAATAATATGCAACGAAACAGGTTGTGTGTGGTTGAAAAGCTTTTTTTCCTTCTTCTTTGGTCGAAGGGGAAAAAAAGTTTTTCAACTTTATCAAGGTGAATTGAGTTAGATTCTCTTAGTGATAATCCTAACTATTAAAGGATTAATATTCTTTATTGGATTCTCATGATTATTTGTAATTTTTCAGCCACTATTTTTTATAGATGAATAGGGATAGAAATAGGTTAGGTTAGGCTAGACTTTGCATAAATAAGTTAAGTCTGTTTAATAATTTTGAAACTTAAACTGACCTATTATCTATTATAAATTTTTTATTAAGCTTAACTTTGCCTTTTTAAAAGTCAGATTTGACCTATTAAATTTTTTAATGAGCTACTTCGTATCGAGACATTGAGACATTTAATATGTCATTAAGTTTCTTTATAAATAGATTAGACTATTAAACCATTTAAACACACACACACACACATATATATATATATATATATATATATATATATATATATATATATCTTTTAAAAGTCATAAGACTTGCCTCTAAATAAATTATTAAAAAATAATATAATATAAACAAGTGCGTAAGATTGTAAGAAGATAATAAATGAGATAAGACAAACTAGCGATAGACATAATCGAGAAAGTGCAATATAAATCAGTTTTATATGTATAAAATAAGCAAAAAAAAAAACTCCAGGGCTCTCTCTCTTAAAGAGTATGTCTTAGATACCTTCTTCAATTCTAACAAAAATTATTAAGATTTTTAATTTAAGATTTTATTATTTTAAAATTTAATTTATTTAATATTATAATATTATAATTTTTATATAAAATTATTTAATATATTATTATAAATTTTATGAATTTTAAATAAGTTATTCTAATAGGCTTAATAGACTTTCTCCTGGTACACTCTGATGTTCTACCGGCCATAGTTGTATTTATGTACAAAATCAAATTTTCACCCATTAGCACATTTCATTTCAATTTCCCATCATACAAACATTCCAAATATCTCAACCAAATCACACATTTTACCAAGTTGCATCAACAAACAATTCCTAATTAATACTTAGAACATATACTCTCGATGAACTAGTCCCATACCCCAAGTGTTGGAAAAAAGAAAAAAAAAGTCATCTTTATCTTTCAGAATTACCCTTCTAACAGAGAAATAAAATAAAACAATCACACAAGAATATAACGTGGAAACTCCAAAAACAGGAGAAAAACCACGATCGTTGTCTAATGACAACCAAAGAATAACACTATGTGAAAATTTTACAACGCATAGACTATTCTCCCTTGCCCCAATTACACCCACACTCTCCAAAACAAGTAATTAAACTAAACCTCACAACACTCTAATACAAGAGTATAAGAAAAGTCAAACACAAGCTTAAAGTGTTTCTGACTGGGGTGCCTTAATACCATGGACTCAGGTCTATTATGTGGCCTTGTTCACCCACTCCCTTGTTCATCCCAAGTAATGTGGGACTTCTTCCAACATACCTTGAATAATGTGAAATTTTCAAGATGTATTATTTTCATCAATCTCAACAATCTCCACCATGACTAAAATAGACACATCTTCTATTTCATTGCCTACATCAGCAATCATTATCTATACCGACAATCATACTCCACCATAAAGAGTATACTCGCTTGGAATTAAACCATTCCAAGAATTTTCTTTCACTGCACACCCTGTGTCAATCCCAACCAATGCCCGTGTATAATTACTACACACCTTGCATCAATGCCAACCAATGTCTGTGTACCCTTACCACACACCTTGCATCAATGTTAGTCAATGCCCGTGTACAACTTACGACACACCTTGCATCAATACTAACTAATGCCCGTGTATAATTATCGCACACCTTGCATCAATGCTAACCAATGCCCGTGTACAATTACCGCACACCCTGCATTAGTGTTAGCCAACGCCCATGTGTAATCATTGATCCTTTCATCAAATTTCTCTATGTTACATTTAACAGCACTTGTAAATGACATTGTAGCTTCAGCAACCAAGGATGATTCTCCAACAACAAGGAATTAATCTTTTCTGATGTGGAAGGTCAGACTAAGCTGCAACCATAGAGCATACTAAGAATATCCTACCGAACCATAAACTTTGATACCACTGTTAGGAAAAAGAAGAAAAATGTCATCTTTACCCCTTCAGAATTACCCTTTTAACAGAGAAATAAGATAAAACAATCACACAAGAATATAACATGGAAACTCCAAAAACTGGAGAAAAACCACGATCGTTGTCTAATGACAACCAGAGAATAACACTATGTGAAAATTTTACAACACATAGACTATTCTCCCTTGCCCCAATTACACCCACACTCTCCAAAGCAAGTAATTAAACTAAACCTCACAACACTCTAATACAAGAGTATAAGAAAAGTCAAACACAAGCTTAAAGTGTTTCTGACTGGGATGCCTTTATACCATGGACTCAGGTCCATTATATAGCCCTGTTCACCCACTCCCTTGTTCATCCCAGGTAATGTGAGACTTCTTCCAACATACTTTGAACAATGTAAGATTTTCAAGATGTACTATTTTCATCAATCCCAACACTAGGCTGGTTTGAATGAATTGCTCTGATACCAAATTGTAACATCTTTATTTCAAAATTCCATACATAGTATAATTTACCATTTCAAATCAATAACTATATACATGGTTTTGGGTATGTCGATATTATATCATAATTAAATGCTGAAACATAAGCAAAACTTTATAAATAAAGGAACCGTGCATAATTTAAGTACAATAATTTATAAAGTATTATTCAAAATATATAGAACTTTAAAATATTTACATCACCAAACACTACAAAATGAATCTTAGAGCAGCCTCAACACGAAGTCCATAAAAATACTCTCCTATTGACACTCTAGAATCTCCAACGATTGCAATTCTCTTGGTACCCTCGGATGTTCTACTTTTGATTTCTGGCACGTCAAGCACTTGGCAACATATTCAACAATTTCTTTCTTCGTGTCGTACCACCAGAAATTCCTTCGCAAGTCATGATACATCTTTAGTGCTCCTGGATGAAAACTCAATTTACTCTTATGCGCCTCCTCCAATATCAATTGCTTCAACTCTTCCTTTCCCTTCCTTGTCAATTTCGTTAAGGGTAATGCTATTTTAGAAAATCCCTCAATGAATTTCCTATAATAGCCAGCCAATACGAGGAAACTTCTAATTTCCATTGGAGTTGTGGGTCTCGACCATTGAGCCACTGCTTCTACTTTTGCTGGGTCAACCATAATCCCTTCCTTTGAGACAACATGTCCCAAAAACTAGATCTGTGGAAGCCAGAACTCACACTTCAAAAACTTTGCATAAAGTTGCCTCTTGCTCAGTACTCGCAAAACGATCCTTAAGTGTTTGGTGTATACTCTTCATGATTCTTGGAATAGATCAGGATATCGTCGATAAACGCTACTACAAACTGATCGAAGAATTCATGGAAAATCTGGTTCATATAATCCGTAAACACCGTCGGAGCATTAGTCACACCAAACGACATCACTAGATATTTGTAATGACCGTAGCGAATTCTAAACGTCGTCTTAGGGATATCTTCCTTCTTCACTCGAATCTTATGATAGCCCAATTGCAAATCGATCTTTGAAAACACTGAGGCTCCTCGTAGCTGATCCATCAGATCGTCAATCCGAGGAATATGATACTTATTCTTAATCGTCACCTTATTCAACTGGCGATAATCAACGCACATTCTTATGCTCCCATCTTTCTTTTTCACCAACAGTACTGGAGCTCCCCGTGGCAACACACTTGGTCGTACAAATTGCTTTTACAATAGTTCTTCCACTTGCTTTTTCACCTCAACCAATTCTACCGGTGACATTCGATATGGCGCAATAGATACTGGACTTGCTCCCGGAATCAAATTGATAGAAAACTCAATCTTTCTTTCCGGTGGCAATTCTATTACATCATCCAGAAAAACTTCTAGAAAATCTTGCACTACTAAAATGTGCTCAGCTCTCACAGTCTTATTGATCTCAGCAGAAAACAACACCATGAAAGCAGTAGCTTCACCCACACCTTGGAGTCTAGAATTTATCGGTGTCTCATCACCAAAGATTAAAGCTTTCTCCTTACAATCTAATAGAACACGATTGGATGATAATCAATCCATACCCAATACAACATCAAGTTGAGAAAGCAGTAAATAAATTAAGTCAACACAGAAATTTCTACCATGTACCATCACAGAACAGCCTAAGCATACAAAAGAAGTCACAACAGGCTTAGCTGTAGGAGTAGACACAAGAATATCACATGGTAGAGAAGATATTGGCAGTCTAATACAATTCACACAATCCACAGAAACAAAGGAATATGTGGTACCAGAATCAAATAATACATCACAAAGTCTATCCATAATGATGCATTTACCTCTGATCAAGTCATCCGACTTGGACGCCTCTGATCCACTCATGGGAAACACCTTGCCTGATACACTCGGCTTTGCCCCACTGTTTCCTTTGGGTGCCGGCTGGTTACTCCCACTCACACTTCTGCTTCTCTGAGGAGCAGACCAACAAGTATTTGCAGAATGACCCATCTTCCCGTAGATACTACATGCCGACAGTGGTTGTGGGCAATTACTCACAATGTGAGGTCCTCCACAAAGAAAGCATCTCATGGGTCCCCTTGAAGGGTTGGAACCACCGCTATTACCTCCCTGAGATACTGTCCCACGAGATTAAGACTGAATAGCACCAGAATAAGGTCCTCTAGGAAACCTTGGAGGTCTACGATCCTTCCTCACCGGTCCTCCAATCCGGCTATCTATAGTCTTTCCCTTGGAGTTTGCCTCGAAGATTCGGCACTTGCTGACCAGGGTTGACAAGTCAGTTAGCTAGAACACATTGACCACTGCCCTTATCTCACGCCTTAGCCCATTCTCAAACTGGGCGCACAGATCTTCATCCTCATCCTCATGATGGAAATGAGGCCAGCATTTCATCAGCTCATGAAATTTTGCAGCATAGTCGCCCACAGACATACTTCCTTGTTTCAATTCAAAGAATTCCCGTGTCTTTTGTTTCTTCAAATCCTTAGGGAAATAGTTCCCTAAGAAACAAGCCTTAAACGCTTCCCAGTTGATATATCCTTCATCTGGCGGCAACGTTGGATTGGCGAATCTCCACCAATCCTCAGCTTCTCTGCCCAACATATAGTTGGCATATACCACCCTATGCTCCTTGCGACATCCCATCGCATTAAAGATTTTTTTCTAGGTCCGCGATCCACCTCTGTGCATCTTCAGGATCAAACTTTCCTTCGAACTTCGGAGGGTTATGCTTTGTGAACGAAGAAAGTCCACGATACTCAGCAGGCTCCCCACCTTGGTTTTGCACCAAGTTTTCTAAAACTTGAGCCACGCGGTTCAAAATCTCATTGGTAGCACCAGCAAGTGTACCTCTAGCAGCCATAGTTCTATTTCTATACAAAATAAAATTTTCACACATCAGCACATTTCATTTCAACTTCCCATCATACAGGCATTCCAAATATATCAACCAAATCACACAATTTACCAAGTTGTATCAACAAATAATTCCTAATCAATACTTAGAACATCTACTCTCGATGAACTAGTCCCATATTCCAGGCTGGTTTGGATGAACTGTTCTGATACCAAATTGTAATATCTTTATTTCAAAATTTTGTACATTGTATAATTTACGATTTCAAATCAATAACTATATACATGGTTTTGGGTATGTCGGTATTATATCATAATTAAATGCTGAAACATAAGCAAAAATTTATAAATAAAGGAACCGTGCATAATTTAAGTACAACAATTTACAAAGTATTATTCAAAATATATAGAACTTTAAAATATTTACATCACTAAACACTACAAAATGAATCCCAGAGCAGCCTCAACACAAAACCAACAGCTGAAGATCGATCCTACTCATCTTCAGCATCCCAACTCTCTATCTCAGTTAGGTCCTCTGAGTCTAGATCATCATTTGTACCCAGATACTCATCGTCTGAATCAGGTCTGACCTCTGTCCCCGTGACGCGTTCAAATGTCCATCGGGTAGGTCTTCTTAGAGAGTCATGGTCATGGTAAGTGTATAGGTAAGTAAGGGCTGCTGGGGTTCTCACTGTTCCTCTATACATGTACACACACAGGGTATAGTGTATTCTACTCCTAGGAAAATCAAAGGGAATACTACAGGCGTAGTTCAACTCTATCATGACATAGACCCTAGGTTCATCTGCACTAATACAACAAATTTAAAATAATTTACCTGCTGATACTCATTAAATACATAATTTAATCTAAAGTCTACTGAACTATCTACGAGCCTAACTTTTCCTTGGGGCTCCATCATCCTGATTCCCTGAAATTATCAGTAAGGATGAGCATCTATTCTATTCTTACAAACAATATCATATAATCATAATTTATAATATGAACATCATACAACAAGTCTCACGCATATACAATAATCAGTTTCACACCAAATCATCACTTAACACGTTCATATCATATATAACATTCAACAGTTCATTATTTAGTTTCTCTTTTCATATTTCCATACGTACTCCAAGTGCACTGTGATCATAGATATTGATGCCTCCAGCATTTCTGAGGTCTTGCTCAACTAGGTAAATAGTCACCGATTAGCTCATATATAAGGATACAACATGTACAATATTCGGGCTCCTTTGCAAAGGCATAGTCAGGAGTCTAGTCAGGAAATGAGTATGAGGCCATATGACGCATTCGCTCTTAGATAGAGTGTGTACACATACGCGAATGTCGCTCACTACACTACGTTTCCCAGAGATTCTCATTGTCTCCGGACTCTAACTTCCAATGTATCTCTATAACTATCCACACTAGATTCAATCCAAATTTGACTCTTAGAGTCATTCTCTTGCTCACTCACAAGATCGTGCTTATCAAAACACTTCCGAACTAAGTTTATTCCCACTCATTTCACACATGCATTTATGCATACAATTCCAACAACATATCATTTTATACCAATGTCAATTCAGCATATCATTTTACTCATATATTCCATAACAGCATACCCATATCAATCAACAGGTCTTATAATATTTCACATAAGATACGCACCACACAATGCAAATAAGCATGTATCGACCATTTGGCCCAATCAACCAACCATTCCAAACCATCAAACAAACATATTTTCATCCATACATTGTACAACAGATATCACAATCAGCTATTTTTCTCTCATATTCTCACAACAGTGCTCTATGAGCATAAAATAATAGTATATCATAACGACAAAATAGAGCTCTCTTTACCTCGAAGACGAGTGTACAGAGATATTTAGTAAAGGAAGAAAGTCCACGAAATACCAAAGAATATTCATCAGAACCAAAAACCAAAAAAAGATCGGTAAAAACATAATTTTAACTGAAGAAACTTATGTGAGATCGTTTCGAATTAACATTCGAACTTGACTATGGAAAAGAATCAGGGTTTCTGAGGCTTTAATCTGAGTAACAAGGAGAGAGAACTCAGAGAAAACTTGAGGGATTTACGTGAGTTTAGAAACAAATGGATTTCTCATGATGAAAATCTCTTAAATACCCTCATCCCCCGCGCGTCTCGCTTGAGCGACGGTCCACGTCGCTTAAGCGATGTCATCTCGCTTGGGCGACAGCCAGCTCGCCTGAGCGAGATATGCAGATAGAATCTTGAACTTTCTTTTCTGATGCGCTCGCCTGAGCGAGCTCCATCTCGTCTGAGAGAGATAGTGTCCAGAGAGCACGACATTCACCCTGTGAGTCCTCGCTTGAGCGACTCATTTTCGCTTGAGCGAGATCACCCTCGCCTAGCTGAGGCGGCAACTGTGCTGACATCAGCTTGTTCTCGCCTGGGTGACACTCTCCTCGCCTGAGCGAGATTTATCTCGCCTGGGTGAGCACCTCTTCGCCTAAGCGAGATAACCCTGGAACCGCCTTTCCCTGCACGAGTCATCTCACTTGGACGACAATTTCATGCCTTCTTCTTAGGGCTGTCTCGCTACAGCAAGACATATCTCGCTACAGCAATAACACCTTTCATCAAACCCTTAGCCTATATTTCAACAGTCCAGAAAATCAAATCTTCGATGCATAATCAGTATCCATATTACATTTTACAAATATACATATATTTTTCACATATATTCTCATCATATAATCCACATCAATTCATCACGAACTCAAGTGCATATCTCAACATCCATTCATACATATATATATATATATACACACACACACATTAATAATTACACAATATTACAAAATTTAGGGTGTTACATCCAGACTTAGTCCAATTGTACAATTTCAATACACATGCTTTTTAGTATCAATATAGTCATCTATCCTAAAGTTGGGTAACATTCAATATGTATAGTATATCTATTATCTAATATTGAATGATTGGATTTACTTTTTTCTGCAACTCTCTAAAATAATTCTAAATAGTTTTATTTTTCTGTACACGGACTATTAATTAATTATTTTACAATGAGTTTGAATTTAGAATAGAATGACGAATGTATAATTTGAATTTAATTCATATTGAATTTTTTAAAAAGTTTAATGGAAAAAGTTACATGAGCAAGTTGTTTGTTTTTTTGTTTTTTTAACTCATCTGACTAATTCGCATGTTTAGGAGGATTTAAATCTAAACTATAATATTTTTTGAATGATTTATCGGTCGTTTACAATATTTCTGATTAGTTAAACCTGCACCGAAAAACAAAGTTATATAGCTTTTTTTTTTCTCTAATTTAAACTGTTTCAAATTTAGAGTACAATTTTTATTATCAAACTCAGTTTCTTTTCATTTGTTTTCTTCCATTACCATTAAAATTATTACTATATAAATTTTATTTTAAAATTATTCTTATTTTCAAAATATTTAATATACAAAATTTTGTTTATTTCATATGAGTAATGGAGAGAATTAATTATCTTTACTTTCTCGTGGTTTAACTCAACTTTTATGTATCATTTATAAGATAATTACAAATGTTAAATGTATAAACTATTTAAAATATGAAGTGTTAAATGGATATATTACATACTACATATTTTTATAGATTACTAAAATATTAAAATAAGAAAATGAGTAATAGTCTAATAGACATAAAACTATAAAATTAATTTCATGTATATTTTATTTTAAGTTTAATTTTATAGGTTTCCTAAAATACTCTTTATGGAAAAACAAGAAACTAACAGTTGTGGAAATTCAATGTTAGATTTATATATTATAGACATATTATACATTATAGATATAAATTAATTATTGAAATATTTATAGAAAGAAAATAATCAATAGATGTAAAAATTAATAAAATATAAAAAGTAAACCACATTTATCGATTTAATTTGATAAGTTAGGTAAAGTATTATTAATAGAAACATTTAACATTTTTTAAAGAAAACTATATATATGACAACACGTGGCAGCTGTAAACGTTTGTAGATTCCATAGTATCAACTTGTTAACTACGGTATTAATTGAAGATTTTGTTTAAGATTAGTTTATTAATTCAATTTCTT